AGTAGTGGTAGTAGTGGTAGTAGTGGTAGTAGTGGTAGTAGTGGTAGCAGTAGCAGTAGTACCTACTTTCTTCCCAGGGAGCTGCCTCTAGTAGAAAGCAATCAAGCCTCTATTTGCGCAAGCAGGGGACCAGGAGATCGACAGACGAGCGCCGTAGGAGAGCAAAAGACAAGCGGACCAGGAGACAGAAGGACTAGGATACCAGGGGACCAGCGGACCACAGGACCAGAGGACCAGGAGACGGGAGGACTAGGGGACCAGTGGACTAAAGGACCAAGGGACCAGGGGACCAAAGGACCCGTGGACCAGAGGACCAAGGGACCAAAGGACCAAGGGACCACATTACCAGAGGACCCGCAGACCACAAGGCCAGGAGAGCAGCAGAAGAGGCCTATCAAGGAATATTTTTTTGATTCGCTTTTTATTTTTTTTGATCCTGTTTTTATTTTTTTTTGATGCTCTTTTTATTCTTTTTTGATACCTATGCCGCCATGGAGGGCCCGAGCTCTTTCAAGACTTTCCTTTTTGGACGGTGTGTTGCACAAAGAAAGCATCCATCTTCTCCAATCTTCTTTGATCAGTTCTTCCACGCAAGATCGGAAGTTCCAACTTACTATTAGTTAACAAAGACCAGCACCACGGATTTCGGGTGGCTATTGGAAGGAAGATGACCCCAACTCTGGGGTGTCTAGACAGCAACTCCGTTACCTTGTCCGGGGGTGTTGCTTCAGTTTGGGTCCGAGCTGACGTCCACCTTCTCTGTTTTCGTCCTTTTTCCGGTAAAACGAGGTCCTCCAATGATACCATCGAGTCGTAATAGGCCAGAAGACAAAAGGACGGCAGAAAGAGGTTCACGGGCCCTTCCAGGCGTGTTCTGTGTACCTTCGCAGCATCAGGTCCGTCTTTTATGTGGGCCTTCTCCTTCTTCGCGGAGGCTCCAGTGTCGATGGAGGAGCCAATGTGTGCATACCTGCTGACCAAGATCTGTCGGTTTTTTTCCAGCGATAAACACCAATCATATGGCCTTCGACCCCACAAAGAATGAGCCTTTTGGTCTGGCACCTTTATTGGTCAATAACGCTTGCCCATATGAATATGTTTGCATGATCTGATCATCTTGTCCAGGTCGTCCGATCTTTCACGCTCTGCATGACATGGACCACCAGGATGGACTCGGACTGACTCCTGGCCACAGGGCCACAGGTCGGGTCTCTCAGGGCGGACCCACGGTGGTTTGGTTGACCCCTTCAGCTCCTTTCGGATCGATAGGTGTTGGAGGGTCCAGGCACTTGGACCAAATCATCCAGTTCCAGGTCACGGAGTGGTTTACAGTTTCTTGTGAGTGGGTCAGCATCTCATGGCATCTCTGTCCTCCCTTCCACTACCCCGACATGCAACTCACGGAGGAAGAATCACTGAGATCCTGCTTGATGATGTCCTTCTGGGAATAGTAGAGGGGTACATTTGGTACATGTTGCTACCATATATTCCTATTACAGTAGTTCTTCACAACTGGGTATCGATATATCCCCTCTAATACTACTCCAAAGTCTTTCTTATGGCCATCTATGGCAGCGAGTTCACTCCGCTGTCTTCACTCCGGCCGGCAAACCCGCTTTGGAGAGCTCGATCTCGACCCAGCGAGCGATGCTCCGGTCTCGGGCACTTCTTGCTCTCGGGTACCTCGAGGAGAACACGCCCCGCGTGTGAAGGATCACTGTCCGTCCCAAGAGGATTGGAAGGAAGGAAAAAGGCAGGGGTTTTTCGGGCAACGAGATTCGTTGGGGGTACGTGCGCACGTATCTGGTCTCGACGAGATTCTATAAATGACCTGACGCCCAACGATAGGTGACCTGAAGAAGGCTTTCCGCTCAGGTGGGCCGAAATATCGTGGACTTCCAGGGTCTGAATATTTGGGATACTTCTATGGATACTTATTGAGATTCTATCAAGTTGATTCAAGCTGTTTGGTACTACTTGCACATACTTGCACAAGCATCTACCTGAAAAGGTGGTGACCTTTTCGGTGGGCTGAAACCACATGTTTTCATTCGCTTCTCTTCAGTTCTGGCGGTTTCCCATGGGAAACGCATGGTCCCCATGGTCAAAAATTCCCATTCGCTCCAGCCGTCCAACGTCTTTGCCCGACAGTCCAAGACCAGACCCATCTCAAGACCCACGCGATCGTTGGCTGTCTACGAGCTTCGGAATTGGACTGAAGAGTGCCGAGCATCATCTTTCCGACTTGGAAAAACACCAGCTTCCACCTACTAAAAGACGACTTCCGGTTTGCAAACCGGAGAGATTCGACCCAGACTCCTCTTGGTCCCCAGTTGGGGGGGATCCTGAAAACCACGAAAACGACCCCCACCTTATAGATGTATTCCATTGTTTGAATCCCGAACAACCCATGTTTTTACGAAGGGTTTGACCAGAGCAACGATTTGGCCAGAGTCTGGTCGAAGCACCTTATAATCCATAGCCTGAATCCCAAATAAAACCCTGGCTTTTACGAAGGATTTTAGAAGATGATTTGGCGCTCGGACGTCCTCAGGGCGTGGCTCTACAGGTCTACATGGAGGGCGGTGCACGGCCCGAGGGTTGTTAAGGCAGATTGAAGGACGCCCCAGAAACGTGGAGATTCAGATGCTGAATCTGCCCAAGTTTCTGTGACGCACTTGGCGTCGCTTCGGATTGGAACTTTGGGACTTGGGACCTCAAACTACGTCCTACGCCACAACTCGTCGTCGTTTCGGCATGTGTTCAATATGTGTCACACCACGAACGAGGCTCGTCGGAGGCTCGTTCGTCCTACACTGCACTCGGTGTCCGCAGCCGAGTTCAGCACCGGAGACGTGAGACGCCGAGTTCGGCACCCGGGGGGGCACCTTCTTCTCCAACGTTGGAAACGAGGACTTCATCGGATGGATGAAATGGAGGTGTCGCTGACACAAGAACCAACGCTGATGGATGTGGCACCAGGTGCAAACCAAGAAGAGACAACCAAAGCCACGAATGGTTATTTCAATGTGTGTCATTTTGTGTGGGTTGCCTTTGCAGCGAGCTGGCTTGATGTTGAACACTGCTAGGTAGCACCACATGCCAACAAGAACACTCACACACGAAAGATACCTCACAAAAGACCGGCCAAACACGCGCGTCATCTTGAAAAATTGCCCAAAACGGCAGCGGATGGCCCAAAACGGCCAGCGAGGTCCCGTCATCTTCTGACCGTGAGCAGAGCTTCAAGCACCAAGACCTGTCGGTGATTTTGTTGGGGACCCCCCCTTATCTATCCTTGTACGAGGACACCCTCGGGACAGGGACAGAGAGACACCGTCGAACAACTCTGAAATGCTTTTTGTGGGATCACCGTCGAACGCAGTTCGAGCTCGCGCTGCGTTCGACGGAACCGTCGAAGAAACCCGAAGAATCTCAACCCCAAAGCATCACCGGCACAGGGATAGAGCGATGTGAGGAACTCGGTCCGAATTCCGCAGAACTACACGGTCGAACGAGGAAGTGGAGGATGGCAGGGCCTCGGGCCCCCCCGCGACATGTCGGATGTGCGTTGAAGGATTCGACGCCGCGGCCGCGGGGAATGGAAAATGGTCACAACACGTGATTTCAGGGAGTCGGCTCTGTCAATTTGATGGAAAGTTCTGAGTGCCCAAGTCCAGTCCACGATTTCTCCAATCTCGGTGACGACACAGGAAACGAACTCGGCATGTCCATTCCTTCGCAGCAGTCTTCAGGTTTCGCATGAAAGAAAAAGTGGTTGATCTGATCTTTCCTTGTAATCCTGAGTTCGGTAGAGACTATTGTTGTAGAAATCAATGCTGGTTGGAATGCTAGGGTATCTCTCCAAACATGTTCAAGACTGACGAAAAACAAAATCCCTCTGTGGCCAGTTTGGAGCTTCACGGCGAATTTTTGTCGGCCCTTTTCGTCGAAAGAAGAGGATGTAAATCCCAAAGACCTCAGTGGACCGGAGTTGTTCACAACGAAATCAATTCCTGGAAGTGCTGCACCAGCTCAGGCCAAAAAGGATCCACGGGTATTTGCAGTGATTTTGTTGATTCCCGTTGATTTCTATCGGACGTCTTCCATCACTATTCCGAATGATCAATAGGTAAAATGCCGGTTTTTTTGTTTTGCTTCTCTCTCATGCAAGCACTTCACCCGCTCTTATCAAATGCTCTTGCACAAGAAACAACAAAGGAATGAAACGTAAATTAATGTATTCTTGCTTTCCATGAGAAAAACTAACAGTGAAGGGGATCCCGTCGGTCTCGAGACTTCGTCGAAGTCGACCCGAATCGACCCGGATCGATGGTCCTTCAGCCAAACATATGTTTTCATTTCATGCAGCTTTAAGGTTCCACTGGCTCTCTACGCCCATGCTTTCTTGGCCCCGAAATCCATCCGCCAAGACTGACTGTTCGCCAGCGACTGGGTCTACACTTCAAGTGAGAACACACCGCACCAAGCGGCGAAATCTGCTCGAACAGGATGGACCCCATGGCGCGGCCTTCACCCGGCCGTGCTCGGCCTTCACCGAGTCCCCGAGCCTTCACCGGTTGAGCCAGGACATGGCGAGCCATGAGAGAAAAGTTCGTAAGTTGCGCCGCAAAAAACACGAAAAGTTGCCCGCAACACGTATGTGGAGACCCTTCTAGGCGCATATATGTACATGACATAGACATATAAAATATATATATATATATACGCATAGAGAGAGAGAGAGAGAGGGAGAGAGAGAGAGAGAGAGAGAGAGATACACACTCATGGATAGACGTACTGACTTGATTGCGGTGCCACACGCCGGCCTAGGGTTCCATTTCCTAAGGGTACAGGTAAGGAAACCTAAAAGAAGAGGAGGTCCATCCCGCGGAGGTCTCAAAGGTTTCAGGTGGCCAGCAACTCCAAAAGAAAACACCGATCGAGCCGACGACAAGGTGACGACGTACGTTCAATGAGGTTCTTGGCTTAGCCTCACGCCATGCAGAAAATGGAAAAGTTGCAGGTACGTCGACAGGACGTCTCCCGTCGATATCACGAGCAAGAGATAGGTGTCTTCGTTGGCACCTGCCCTACCTCTGCTCGAGGTGCCCCCTGCCATAAAAATAAATAAACAAATCCGGAAGGATCCCTATGACTCCAAGGGTTACACACACACGCCTCCCCGAAGGGAGGCATGTGTGACCTCCATCCTGCCCGGAAAGGAGGTAGGCACATGTGCACGCAAAAGGGACAGATGAAAATGAGAAGGACAACACAGACAAAGGTGTGTGTGGTTGCCAATGAAAAGGAACCAAGTGAAGAGGGACAACCGATGAGCCAAACCTCATTGTAACGAACCTGGGCCACCTGAACCTCACTGTAAGTAAAGTATGCGTGCGTGTATGTGTACAAACTAAGGTCCGGACGAAAGTGCACGCAAGAGAAAGAAAGGATGAGGATGAAGAGACGTGAAGACAGAAAGACATGAAAGAAAAGAGGAAGAAAAACCGTCTGTGGGGGCCGATGAAAGGGGAACCAAATGAACGGGGACAAACCGATGACAAACCAAACCTCATTAGAAAAACCCTGTTGCAGAAGCCTAGTTTGCTTGTAAACACGCCGCGCGCGAGGAAAGAGGGGGCAGGGGGAGGAAGAAAAGAGAGGGAAAGAAAGAAGGAGACAAAGGTGCTCCCAGCTACGACACATGCGTCCAGGGACACACCAAAAGGAAGGGCTCCCAGCTATGACGAAGCATCCAGGGACACCCAGGGAAGAGGGTGAAGAGAGGAAAGAGAGAAAGAAAGAAAGAAAGAAAGAAAGAGAGGGAGAGAAAGGGAGAGGAAAGGAAGGTGTTCCCAGCTACGAACAATCGTCCAGGGACACACCCAAGAAAGAGAGGGGTGATCCTGAGTATTGCATTCAGGAAAACCCCAGAAAGCAAAGAAAGAACGGGGGAGGGAAGGGGGAGAAGGGGGGGCTAAGTGCTCGACAGGTTCCAATGAACCTTGAACAGACTTCGGTCGCTGCGACCACGTACGCCGTGCCAAGATGGCTGGCAGCTTTGACCGCTACGGTCACGTAAAGGCATGAGCCAGCTTGGAATTCCAAAGATGAGACAAACATCCCACTTCTTGAGGCATAAGCCATCTACTGTCCGCTGCGGACATCTGCGTTCCCAGAGCCGGGGGAACATGGACATACACCCGTTCGACGGGTCCACGGGAGGCACTCTGCGGGCTCATCCCGGGTTGGCACGAAGCCAAACACACTCGTGGATAGACGTACTGACTTGATTGCGGTGCCACACGCCGGCCTAGGGTTCCATTTCCTAAGGGTACAGGTAAGGAAACCTAAAAGAAGAGCAGGTCCATCCAGCGGAGGTCTCAAAGGTTTCAGGTGGCCAGCAACTCCAAAAGAAAACACCGATCGAGCCGACGACAAGGTGACGACGTACGTTCAATGAGGTTCTTGGCTTAGCCTCACGCCATGCAGAAAATGGAAAAGTTGCAGGTACGTCGACAGGACGTCTCCCGTCGATATCACGAGCAAGAGATAGGTGTCTTCGTTGGCACCTGCCCTATCTCTGCTCCAGGTGCCCCCTGCCATAAAATTAAATAAACAAATCCGGAAGGATCCCTATGACTCCAAGGGTTACACACACACACACCCCGCCATGATCTACCTAGAGCTGTTTTTTTGTGGGCCTGCCCATACACAAGCTATGTTTTGACCATATCAGCAATCAGTGCTCCTCATTAGCTTTTTTTGATGCCTTTAAACATATATATAGACCTCCTATCTTTATTGAAGAATGTTTTTTCCATTTGCGGTCGCTAAGGGCGGTTGCCTGCAGCACGCGTTGCATCCAATTCCGAATTTAAAACTGCACTTGGCCCCTGAAGTAAACCCGTTTGGGTTCCTTCGGGCCCGCAGCATACTTAACAAGAAGCGCTGCGAAACAAAAGACCACCTGAACCGGGCGATGGACGCCCGTCAGTCATGCAACATGAGCAAAAGATGGCTGAGCAAGTCTGCCAGCTACTGAAAGAACGCCGTGTGGAACGTTCAAAAGCTGCAAAAACAACAGTCACGTAGCCACTGTACACCCTAGTGCCTCTTGCCGCCAGTCCGTCAACTCAACTCATCCGAAACCAAGTAGTAGCATATCTGTACTTGGCTAATCGCTTCTTCATGTCATTCCGCGGGTGATCAGCTTGTCCCCATCCGGACACTAGCACCGATAGAGCTCCAAGCTACACTGCCCATCGGACCCGCCACGCAGTTGCCTGTCCAACTGGAAGCCGAAACAAAAGCTACCAAGGGCCAGTACTCCGTGTCAGCGACCTGGTCCTTCCCGTCAAGAGCTCAACGAACTTCTGACACCGGCACATGTTCTTGAGCCACTCGCTGTTACGTTCCTTCATCGCCTCCTGGAGGCGATAGTTCAAGGAAACTAGTCCACACAGTCTCGGCATATAGTCGCGCCGCTCTGCGGTGAAGCGACATCGGCATAAGCCTCCCACTCCCTCACACCTTAGAGCCAGCCAAGTTGCTCCCCAACCGCACACTCTGGCTGGCATTGGAACAACACTCACTATTGAGACCCTCCATGCCGGCTTGCAAACGCTCGCGTGCTGCCACGCGCTTCATCAGCAACATTACTTTCCTGACAAATGCAAATGGGTCTCGATCCTGGTTCTCCAACTTGCAGTGTTCCTCCATGGGCTTCTGGAGGCGATCCATCAACGAAGCAAGGCCGCACAGTCTCGGCACACGGTCGCACCATACTGTGGTAAAGCTGCATATGCGCAAGTCTCTTGCCATGGAATCCCACAAGCAAGAGAAGCACACTCTTCTCCTAATCCATGGGAGGCGCAGGCGAACCTCTTTTCAGGTTCTGGGGCTGACAAGTGGATCCTATCGAAATAGGCAATCTTGAGCCATGTTTTTATTGAAAAACAAAAACATTTTTTGGGGGGGGAAGTCTTGTTTCAGATGTGTTTTGGTCTTTATTTTGCGTTACTGTTTTTTTAGCTTAATTGTTCTTAGCTTCAGGTTTGTAAAAATATAGTACCATGATCTAACTCTTTTGAATCAAAGGCAACCACAAAAGAAGTCTAAATTTGATTTTTGAAAAAGAAACACAAACAATGTCTGAAACCAAATCTCTGGAAAAGTCTGCGTTGTTTATTAGTGTTTTTTTTGCTTGTGTTTTTTTTTTGGCTTGTGTTTCTTTCAGACCTCTTTTTATTACCTTTAAGTAAAAAACAATACGCATATAT